AGCAGGAATTTTATCCAGCATCTTGTCACAGGAACGACCCCTTTTGCTGGGCTGTGCCCGTCCACCAGCTCTGCTCGGAGTGGTTCTGCCAGCAGCAGCGCTGAGCACAGGGGCTGCAGCACCCGAGTCCCTCTGGCTTCTCCATACGGAGATAAGGATGGATTAATTACCAGTAGCATGATAATTGGCCCCTGAAGAATTATCCTCATCAACTTCAGTTAAAGAGGTATCATATCTGACCATGGGCATTATTGCAAAGTGAGAAAGACGAGATGATGAGAATTTATTGACATTATTAAAACCCGTTCTGTATGCTGAACATTTCTAACTGTGTGCAAATTGAGGGGTTTTTTTTTCCATTTAGAGTTAAATTACAGAAGTGCAAACTGATTCTATCCACCAGTCTTGGAAAGGATCGAGACTTATTTTAGTGTTCAGATGCTGGTTGAACTGGTGCATTTGTCACTGTTCATGTTACATAATTTGTTTTAAAATAGAATTGTAAAGAATATATAGCAGTGAAACCAAACCTCGTGGAACAAAGAAAGGCACAGGTAAATTTAAAAGGAATTTATCATAGAATCATAGAATGGTTTGGGTTGGAAGGGACCTCAAAGCTCATCCAGTCCCAACCCCCCTGCCAGCAGCAGGGACACCTTCCACTAGACCAGGTTGCTCAAAGCCTCATCCAGCCTGGCCGAGAACACTTCCAGGGAGGAGCAGACACAGCTTCTCTGGGCAACTTAAATGAGTTTTCTCCAAAACAAGACTGAGAGTCCTTGTGCATCCTTGACATGTTTGGACTCCCACTGTCTTTAAAGGAGTTCAGCATATGCAGGGATGGAAGGATGGGCAAGGGAAGACAAGAGTGGAGGCACAGATGGAGTAAAGGATGGGGTAAGCTAATAACAACTTTGATAACAAAGTCTTACCTCCTGCATTTCTATTTTAAAAATATTCTCTTCATACTTTTAGCCTTTATTTACTACTTTTGGAAGGATATAGAAGCTCAGCCAAACCCTGCAAAGGTGATCTGACCAAGTTAATTAATGACAGCCAGAAGAACCTACACCTTGACATGAAAGCATAAAGCTGGACTGGGAGCAAACACTTCTAAAATTCTCCTACATTAGTAGTAGATGTACTAAATTAACACAATCATGTATTAAATGATAGGCTTCATTTCAGCCCTTGCCAAAACCCCCAGATATTAAAGAAAATATAAATATTAAAAGTCATTACCTGGTTGTCAGAAAGCCACAAAGCTGCAAGTTCTTTAAGTTTAGTAAAAGTGAAGGGTAAATTCTTTAACCTGTAAATGATAATATTGAAACAACATGAAAAACCTTCATTTGCAGAACAGCTTCTGTTAAAAATTTGTACGTAGCATGTTTCTCTTGATCACATTGAAACTGATATAATTTCATAACTTTATTTTCTCTCACTTTTAACTAAAATATACAATTTTATTATGGGTATTCAACATTAAGAGTGACATCTGGAATCTAAAGCTACTGACATCATACCCTAAAGGTGCTAAGAAGATAGTGATATTTTACCTTGTCTATAATGCAATCAAAGTTACAGCTTCTAACACAGAAAATAGCAAAAATGTTGGTCCCAGGGAGAATGATAGGAAAGACCTAACAGTTTTCAGTGTAGCTAATACAAATCCTGTCATTGGACATTTAAGTTTTAGAACAGAAACACTCTAAGATTACTGAAAATGCATTTTTGCAGAAATGTTAGGGAAAAAAAATAACATAAATATTCATAGTGAATTTAAATGATAAAAATAAATTAAACAGAAAAAAAATAGTGTCTTAATTATACAGGTAAACACATTTCCTAAAAGTGATTTGAATGTGGGAATGGGGAAATGATGACTAGATACTTGTGGGAACTTCATTCCTGTTTTTTCCCCACTAATTCTGAACATATTATTCTTCCTTTTCAGTCTGTACCAGCACAAGAGGGCTGTCCTGACCACATACTGACATTCTCCCATCTTTGTGTCACAGAAATTAAGGAGCTGGAGGACCGTAGGAAGAAATGGACTGACCTAAGGACGGTCTACAAGACAAAAGCTAAATGGGATTTATCAAAAATAAAAGAGGAAAAGCCCTTTTCTGAGAGAGTCAGACAATCTCCCCCCATGGAAAGGCTCTTACAGATACGTTCACTCACACCTCACACAAAGACAGGCAATCCTCTGGCAGGTGCTCCACCTGCACGGCCTCAGCAGGAGAATCCATTGCCCCTCTAGAACAAATAACCAACACTACTCCTACACTCTTCTTCACATTAAAAATCCATCTGGATTCCTGGGAGACAGGCACCTCCCAAGGTTTTGCACCACCACCTCTATGGAAGTGCATATGGAATTACTTTAGATGTATTTTTGCCATAAAGTCATTACCATTAAAAATTGTGTTACTTCAGAAAGTGTTTTCAAGATTTTAATAAGAATATCTTAAACTAAAATTACTTACCTAAAATCATAGAATCATAGACTGGTTTGGGTTGGGAGGGATCTCAAAGCTCCTCCAGTTCCAACCCCCCTGCCATCAGCAGGGACACCTTCCACTAGACCAGGTTGCTCAAAGCCTCATCCAGCCTGGCCAAGAACACTTCCAGGGAGGAGCAGCCACAGCTTCTCTGGCCAACCTGGGACACTGTCTCACCACCCTCACACCAAAGAATTTCTTCCTCACATCTCAGCTCCATCTCCCCTCTGCCACTTTCAAGCCATCATCCCTTGTTCTGTCACTCCCTGCCCTTGGCCAAAGTCCCTCCCCAGCCTTCCTGGAGCCCCTTCAGGTACTGGGAGGCCACTAGAAGGTCTCCCCGGAGCCTTCTCTTCTCCAGGCTGAACAGAATTCATGTCAAAACATGTTGAAAGTTAATCACAACAAGCAGTGTTACCAGTCTGCCGGTCAAGCCCAGAGATAGTTGGTATTTGTGATAGTTCTTCGAGGTAAGTCTCAGTAAATTTATTATAACAGGGTTTTCAGAGTGTGAAAGTTTAAATTGGAAATCTTTTGAAAAGTTTAAAATAACATGATTCATATTAAACCCATTAATGTAACTGTTCACAAAAGCACTTGCAGATATTCATGGCCAGAAGTAACGAGCTCTTTGGCAAAGAGGAATATTGTAAATTAAATAACTACACAGAAAAAGAAAAGGTACACCAGGGAACAGTCTTTTTTTAATGGATCATGTAAACTTCAGACCTTTTCTCATCTAACTTCTGTGGGTGAGATTCAGAGCAGCAACTGAGTTCTGACCCCAGGACAGAAGCAGAAGCAGCGCGAACACAAAAAGGTGATGACCCTTTCAGCTCTGCTTTAAGAACAATCTAAAACTAAAAGAAAGGTTACTTACCAGTAACCGATGCTCTTTGAGAAGTGTAGCCCAAATGTACATTCTAACAATTCTACCTCTCAATCACAGGACTCATACCTGGAAGGACTCTGAGGAGAGAGGAGAAGCAGATGGAAGACAAATGTATATGTGGACTACACACTGTGAAGAACACCGGTTACTGGTAAGAAAGACATCTTTTTTTTTCTTTGAACGAATCCCATGTGCACTCTTAACAGTGACTGAATCCAAGCAGCTACCCCCAGTGACTCATTACGTGGTGGAGGTCTTGGTATCTTTCATGCAAGTAGTAACTGCACAACTACTTTATCAAATGCTGCATAGGCTCTTGAAGCTCTGGAGACAGCGTTAGACCTGGCAAAGGTAAAGGTGAATCTACTCCAGGCAGCTGCATTGCAAGTATCTGGAATCAAAACTTTCCTGACTGCAGAGGATGAAGCCACCTAAGCCCTGGTCAGATGCACACTAGCCCTCATTAAACTCCACCTTTGCAATCTGATAGCAAGTCAGGATTCAATCCATCATTGCCCTTTATTCTGTAGAGACAACCAAATTATCACATTTCCCAGGGATGAAGAGCCTGTAACAGGGTTGAAAAGGTAAAAGAAAGGAGGCCTCCCAACTATGGAGATGAGAAGTACATAGTCCTACAGTGTATGGAATGGGAAAGAAGAGCTGGAGTCTAATTCCCTGGAAAAAATGGAATTCTAACATGAATATTTGAAGGCAGTCCTGAAAATAAACCAGCTTCTGGTCAATCAAGATCAACAAGGTCCATCTTACAGCAATAAGAGCCTTCAGAAGACATGGAACAAGAGTGAAAGCCTGCAGGAGTTGAAACCATAGTATTAAAAATGCACTAGCAAGGGACTCCAAACACTGAACCACCTTTGAGCTAAATGTGTCAGCTCACAAAAATTTGAGATTCCTGTTAGACTGAGCGACAGAGATCTAGGTCAGGTTTGCCTCTTTCCTGAAAGACATCCCGTCAGGATTTTAGACCAAATCTCCCAAAACATTTCTGACTTTCACAGCCAGACAAGCTCCAGACAGAGCAAAGAGGGAGAGCTCCTCTTTTCCTCTTTACACGCTACACCACAGTTGTCCATCACTCCATGACCATTCAGACAGCAGACTGGAAATTTTCCATGCACTCTTGCAAGGCAAGTTGAAAGCCACCAATATCCTTCTACTCTACATGCCTTGATCCAGAGCCTGCTCCCTGAGCCATGAGGAACATGCCCAGAATGAACATTTTTGGTGGCAAAAGGGCATCTCTCAATAAACACTTGAGTAGCCCAGCTACCAGCTGAGAAAGTAAACAGAAGAAAGGCCATGATGGAAGAGGCTAACGGATACACAAGTGTACCATCTAGTCACAGCTGTAGACATCAGAGGTGTCCTCATTAGCAGGTACATGGGGACTCATTCAAAGGAAGCCTGGATGTTGCCTTAAGATTAATATTATTGTGAAAAGAGGAAAACAGTAAAGTAAAAAATAAAAATCAAGAAATTCAGCATTAAGATGGTATTTGAACTTTGTCCAAAGTCTTTGGTGCCAAAATGTTGAAACTTTTTAGTCTCATTAAGGTGTGAAGTTCCATAACAAAAGCATTATCACAATGTCTCAGCAGGGCAACATAACCTCAGCTGGAACTGATATCCACAAAGGAGGAAAAACTTACTCCTCAAACCCCTCAAGAAAAGCACATGAGACAACTCAAGCCGGTTTAAAGGTTGAAGGTCTACAGCTGAGTCAGTTCCGATCTCTCCTAGTCCAGACCATGTTCTCCCACTAGTTCTACAATGCTTACAACTTGCTCTACAGGTTTTCAGGTTGACTTGAGAGAAGAGCTGCCCACCCCAACAGGCAAAGGTCCCATTCCCCTGCCCTCCCCAGGCCTGCTTTGGTGCACAGACACTGTTAATCTTCAGCTAGCTTTGGTGTTCACCATACTCCATGGTGAGCAAATGAACCGTGAGGAGTGTCACAAAATGAACACGGCAAGAAGAACGACAGCTTCTTCCATTTTCAGTGAGATAAATCAGCTCAGGGACTGGCCCAGTGAGCTCTGAGCAAGCACAAGGGTGGATGCAGGGCCACCAGCCAGCACTGAAGGGGGAATGGGAAGGACAGCAACTGAGACATTCCACCCCAAGGAACAGCACATCATGGGAATGCTGGTCCACAATGGAAATCCCAATGCTACCTTGTACCTGGGCAGTGGGGAAAAAGGAAGGTGGGGCAGGACTGCTCTTTGGGTGGCATCCAGCTGTCAGGTCGGCTTGGTCAGGGACCCTGGTCTGCTCTTACCACCCACACCGCCTCCTCCCAGCAGTGAGCCACCTCCTCACTCTCTCAGCCCAGCAACAGCCCTCACAGTCAGTAATGACAGTAATCCTGGGGGGCACCCAGCCCTGCACTGCGAGCCGGGAGAGGGAGGGGATGGTCCCGCTCTGCTCTGCACTGGGGCAGCCTCACCTCCAGCACTGGGGGCAGTTTGGGCACCACAGGAGAAAAAGGATCTAAAGCTGCTGGAGAGTGTCCAGAGGAGGGACACAACATTGGGGAAGGGTTTAGAGGGGAAGGGTGTGAGGAGAGGC